CAGCCCGCTGGGACGTGGAGGACGCTCGCCGCCACTACCACGCCCACAATGCACCGGGCCGCACCCCGGGAGAAGATAGCAGGGCCCTCCCGGCCTCCTCCCGCCGTTCCCCGATCCCTAACGTTATCGGCGCCTTCGGGCAGCGCCAGGAAGGAAACGCTGCGCGCAGGGTGCGACGTAACCCGAGACAGCAGGCAAAAAAGAAAAGCCAGGCGCGCACTGCCTGCTGGGGGTTTATAGTGGGGCGGTGGCGTCACCGCGGCGACGCGCATGCGCGCGGGGAAAGGCCCCCTTCTCCCACGGCCTTCTGGGATTTGTAGTTCCCTACGGCCGCCGCGTGTCGGGGCCTTTCGAGAGGAGAGCGGCCAAGCTTTGCTATGGAGATGCGGCTACTGCCCCATGGCGGCCTGGGGTGTCGGATACGTCAGCGCTGAGCCTTTTGTTTGGGAAAAAAAAGGTGGAATAAGAGTAAGACCTATAAAATTGCATTTGGAAAGCAGGTGTCTGCTCAGTGTTGCGATATAATTTATTGTACCTGTCCCTGGGGCAGCCCACAGCATCCTGGGCAACCAGTCACCACCAGGCCTGGAGGAGGTCCTCAGTGTTACCTCCATGACCAGGCAGAGGGGGCCTGAGGGACATTGTCAGTGTCATCCCCATAACCAGGTGGGGGACCTGGAGGATGCCCTCAGCACCACCCCCATAACGAGGGAGGAGTCCTGGAGACATCCTCAGTGTCACCCCTCATCATCACCCCCATAACCAGGGAGGGGTCCTGGAGACATCCTCAGTGTCACCCTTCACATCACCCCCCTGTGACCAGGCAGCAGGCCTGGAGAATATCCTACATGTCACCCCCATAACCAGGCGAGGGGCCAGGAGGACATCCTCTGCATCACCTATCAGCTGCAGCCACCCAGCCCACTGCACCTCACGTTGGCCCAGCTTTATGAGTAAATTGAGGCTCACCCAAGAGCATTCTGGAAGGCAGGGTGATGCAGGATGGTGTCAGCTCTGGGTATGGTCCCCACTTCGAGGTCACGAGGCCATTCCCAATGAAGCCAAACTAAAGCACACACTCTCAACTCCTGCCGAATGATGGACACATGGGAGGAGAACAACACAGCTACATGGTGACCCAAATCACTCTGGAAAGCACTGGGTATGTGGGGACACACTGAAGCAACACAAAAATTAGTAGCTGTAAGTGAAGCATAAGCTACAGCACTTGTGGCCCAAGGTATTTTATCTGTTTCAAGGAGACCTTCCTGAGGCTGGAGCTGATTGTCCACTAGCCGTTTGTGGTCATCCCCTCCAGGCATTGCACTGTCCTAAAACTGTTTGCTCCAAGGCCCCTCTAGGAGCCTTTCAGCTCTTTCTCTGGGATTGTATGACCCCACCAGACATAGCACAACTCTTGTACTAGCATTGCAATTTAAAATACCAGAAAAGCCTAACAACTAATCAGAGAAGATCAGATTTCTCTTTGGAGGAAGCTAGGTGTGCACAGATAATCCCAGTGTTGCACAACTTCCTTCCTAAAGCTGTAATCAACAAACCAACTTGCACATCACTTGCTAGTACTGCTGGCTCTCACAGCAATCATGCTGGGGTCATGCACATCGTACTGGTGGGATCACAAAGCCAAGGGCAGTGTTCGCGCTATCCTCAATTTACTCCCTTCCAGAGCAGCCTTAAACTTGAGGGTGTCCTGTCCTTTTTCCTGTCTATGTGGCTTCTCATCTACATTGAAGGGTAATCAACTATTGTTTTGCACTCCCGTGAACCCAGCAAAGCTTAATTCATAAAAAAAAATGACTTTTGACAAATAACCAAGTCAAAGTGTGTTAAAACATGCATCCTTTACCCTTTTCAGCAAATACATGGTTGTTATAAAAAAAAAATAAAACATGTTTTAATGAAGAAGTGTTGCTTATTAAATTGATCAACTCTAGGTTAAATAAGTCAATTAATTTGCTTCAGTTTTATTTTTGTGACATATGGTCTCCTAACTGGCTTATTTTAAGATGTATAAAACCGTAGCAGTGAATAATTCTCTATGGGTGGGTTCTCTTTGGTGGGTTCTGGTGGTCTTCTGAGACCCCTGGAGGCCGTCTTTCCATGTCCATTTCAGGATGTCTAGTAACTCATTTTCGTATATGGCCTCATTCTGGCCCAGAAGACCCTGTTTTGGTCCTACTGTGCAGTTTCAGACAGTTCCTTGAAGATACGGTGGTCCTTATCTTCGTGTTCAACCAGTGTTTGCTGTTTTGTCCATATTCTCTCACGATGGCCCAGTAACACCTGCTCTTTCTTCCGTATTCTCTCAGAATGTACCAGCAACAGCAGCAAAAACATCTCCTTGGGGGCATTCTCTTCTGGGGTTTCTCATAACACTATTAGTGCTGCCCACACAGCAGTCATGCTGGGATCGTGCACATCGTGCCTGTGTGATCACAGAGCCAAAGGCAGTGGTCACGCTATCTTCAAC